AGGGGCGACGACCCTGCAGAAGAGTATTTATTTCTCGTCAGCACAAAGCCTACGTAAACTAAAGGCGCCTAAAAGCCTCCGCGAAGCATCTGTCGTAGAGATTACCATACACAGACATCAGATAAAGCAAATCTTTCTGGATTTGGAGAAATCAGTACAGTAAAGTCAACCAAAAATTTATAGGACACAGAAAAAATACGCTCAGTGCCACACGGGCAGGAGCATGAAAGGTTATACGTAGGTTTCGGGACAATAGACTATGCTATCTTAATTATATAGAACCACGAAATCACAGCGTCACGTAGCACGTGAACTTATTACTAACTGGCAGCTGACCGATAGTCCCTCCTATACATCCTAAAGGCACGATGTCAGCCAGTACGAGACCCTCGTTAATGAATGAGAGAAACAAGTGTATACTTAAGGGCTCGTTTTTCGTGTTTACACAATATTAATGAGATCTAACAGACAATAATTCCAAGGAATGTATAGGGGAAGTTATTAAGCCAATTGTAATGTAAATGAGAAGAAAGAAAAGTGGGTGAAAAGGTAACTTGCCGTGGGCAGGATCCGAACCTGCGACCTTCGAATAACGCGTTCGATGCTCTACCACCTAGCTACCACGACAGCCATCGAACGCGTTATTCGAAGGTCGCAGGTTCGGATCCTGCCCACGGCAAGTTATCTTTTCACCCACTTTTCTTTCTTCTCATTTACATTACAATTGGCCTAATAACTTCCCCTATACATTCCTTGGCATTATTGTCTGTTAGCTCTCATTAATATTGTGTAAACACGAAAAACGAGCCCTTAAGTATACACTTGTTTCTCTTATTCATTAACGAGGGTCTCGTACTGGCTGACATCGTGCCTTTAGGATGTATAGGAGGGACTCTTGGTCAGCTGCCAGTTAGTAATAAGTTCACGTGCTACGTGACGCTGTGATTTCGTGGTTACAGATAGATAGATACACAGAGACAGACAGACAGACAGATAGATACACAGACAGACAGACAGACAAACAGACAGACAGATAAATAAATAAATAAATAAATAGATAAATAAATAAATAATTAAATAGATAAATAAATAAATCATTAAATACATAAATAATTAAATAATTAAATATATAAATAAATAAATAGATAGATAGATAAGTAGATAGATAAATAGATAGATAAATAGAGAGATAAATAGATAGATGATAGATAGATAGATAGATAGATAGATAATAGATAGATAGATAGATAGATAGATAGATAGATAATAGATAATAACTAGACAGATAGATAGATAAATAGATAAATAACTAGACAGATAGATAGATAGATAAATAGATAAATAACTAGACAGATAGATAGATAGATAGATAAATAGATAGATAGATAGATAGATAGATAGATAGATAGATAGATAGATAGATAGATAGATAGATAGATAGATAGATAGATAGATAGATAGATAGATAGATAGATAGATAGATAGATAGATAGATAGATAGATAGATAGATAGATAGATAGATAGATAGATAGATAGATAGATAGATAGATAGATAGATAGATAGATAGATAGATAGATAGATAGATAGATAGATAGATAGATAGATAGATAGATAGATAGATAGATAGATAGATAGATAGATAGATAGATAGATAGATAGATAGATAGATAGATATGGTCAAAGTCGCCGAAGTACGCCAAGAAATGCTTCGCATTTGAAACTCGCTTTGAAGCTCGCATTTGAAACTCGTCAGCACAGCGTAACAAGCACTGCGGTCTTTAAAATTAAGTTTCTCTGCATTTTCAAAATGAAGAAACACACTTACTAATACTTACGTGTTGTACAATAAATGCACGTAATATTTGTTTCTTGATTCAGAGTGTTCAAAAGTATTAACAAAGTCACTATAGGTCAAGATGGGTGGGCTTCGACAACCTGCTTTAACGTTCGCCGGGTGAGCTGAATCGTTGGACAGACACCAACAACCAACGGACAGACCAAGCTTTTTGCATTCAAGTTCATGTTTCTGGTCTGATGGCACAGAATTGTTATATCGTGTGGCGTTGGCTCAACGACGAGATCAAGGCAGTTTTATATTTGCCGACGTTTCCATTGTGTCTTCTACCTTGGGCTTCCGCACTTTACTGCGAATACTAATCAATGATGGTACACCCGCTGAGACACCAGCTCGCTACAATCTGGGGTCATCGCTACGTGCCTTCCTACCATCTAACCACATTAACCTTGGTCGCCAATCAACCGAATTACCATCGTTGTATCGAGCCCTTCTGGCATTCCACCGACGTTTAGAGGCTACATGCTCAGATATAGAGGTGGCCAAATCTAAAGTAGTGGACACAATGGCCGCCCTTCTAAGGCCCTTGGCGCCCCAGCATCGTCAAACTATAAAGAACTGCCCTTGCCAACCAATAACTGCATAGTGTGGCCAGGGCATCTCCGGGACTTTGGCTTTTGTGCTGGGGCTTTCTCCCCACTCGAGATCAGTTGCGGCGATTTCAGGTAACTGCGTCATAGTTGAGACCAATCGGCATGCGACAATTGAGTGCGTGGTCTCCCGTCTTCTTTGGCGTACGGTACATGCTGGTTTTCGAGGACGAACATCCCCCGATTTCCGCGCGGGTGCTTTTCGGCTCTGCTAATAGCTGCGGGACTGTTCAGCCTTTGGAGAAACCGATGCGAGACCCTGGCTGTGATTTCGCGCCGGTGTGCTTTGTAACCGATACTTAGGCGAATGAGACTAGATATCCTCGCGTTTCTCTCTGAGGAGCCTTTCTTCCTCGGTGAGCACGAGTTTCTGTGGCATTGGTCTTGCCCTTTCGTCATTGTCTATAGAATACAAAATAGTACAACTCATTTTTCGAACGACGTGGTGCTAAGCAGCACCTGCTGTGTCGTTATTTGTGATTTCGTCTGTAACCAATTGTGTTTCAATGCGTCTATTGTACTGTTGTAACTTTGTATCACGATATCGCATTGAGTTCTTGTGCACATGTATGCCAACATGGCTTTGTACAATAGAGCAATGATGTCTTCATTGCAACGTGGTGATGTTTGTCGTGGTACATAGATGGGCTGAAGTGTACGTGCTCTCAATAATGGAATATAATGACACCTTTATTTTCTGTACATGGTGTAATTAAACTTTTTCTAAACTGTATTCCGAGGAAATCTATCGTCCTTATAAAAGGTGTGGCCTGTTGCCTCACGCTGGAACAAACAAGCGAAAACGTTAACACGGTGTGAACGCCCGCAATGGCGATAGTAGACGTATTTCCGAAGCAGTTTACATCAGTGGTGCGGTTTGAGCTCCTTCTTTGAGAATGTGTGTGCCTGGTTTATGACATGCGTAAAGAATTCAATCAGCGCTCTCGGGTTCTGTACGATTGGCATGGCAATTCACCATCTTCCGCTAAAAGAGACCATGTGTAGATGCGAATAAGCGGGTGCTAACGCTTACACTGGCGGTGACGTTGACGCTGGCACTCATCGCACGTCGCACAGGAGGGTAACTTGGGGTGGCGCAAAGCAGGTCTGTGTTTTCTACTGGAACACGCGAGTCACTTCTAATGGGCAACGCGAGACAGAAGATCCCGATTGAACACAGACACCCACATTCCGCTTTAAGAGAGCGCACACAGTGCATTTTTGTTTCCTTTACAGACAACGCCGCCGAAAACGACACTAGGTTTCCTGAGACACGGACTCTGTAACGCACTCGCGTTAATATATACCACCTTACTTTGACACCATAAGTATAACGTAAAACCATTTATCCGCAGGACATCATACATTCGTTTAGTTAAGGAAGGGCATCCGACGCTGAATTGTGGGAGGTGAAGCTGCATGAGTTTAACAGTAAAACATGCTTCATTGACGAAGTGCGCACTAAGTGTCAACACGGCACTGTTTCTGACTGTTTCCATCTGGATGAGTCACACGAAGCACGTAAGAAAGCTTGCTACGTCATTAGTTCAGACGAATCTAGGGAGGGCAAAAAAGGGGACCAAAGAATTCTTAGCATTCGAAAACACGCCCGCTAATTCGGCGCAATCATTACGCGAAATTACGTTCCACAACCATGACTGTACTCCTGATAAAGTCTTTAATGCAAAGTTGTTAGTTCTCGCATGACAGCTTTTCTTCCAGTAATAACGGTCAGCGTGGTACGTAAGCATGCCAGTAAGTGATAAGACATATTTTTAAAAAGATATCTCGAAAGAGTTGGCTCTGTATTTTGCGTTCAGATATATTGAGTCGTTCATGGATTATGTGCACGCTCACAGCTCTCAAACAGCGTTGGGATAGACAGACGGCCGAATAATAATAATAATAATAATAATAATAATAATAATAATAATAATAATAATAATAATCTTATTATCTGAGGTTTTACGCCCCAAAAAACTATGTGCTTATGAGACGCTGTATATATGTATACGTATACGCTGCAGTGGAGGACTCTGCAAATTTCAACCACTTTGGGTTATTCAACGACACCTGTATTTAAATACGCGAGCTACCAGTACTTCGCCGCCCCCGAAATAGAGCCGCTGCAGTCGGGATGGAACCCGCGACATTGCGTCAGCTGTCGAGCACCCCAACCGCTACGCCCCCCAGCTGACAGTCTGACGGCAATTCATTCAATAGTTTTTCACGGAGGGACCACCACTACGCAACAGGTACCTTGGCCTACTTTATTCTAGTGCTCCAGCTTCTCAGTATATCACGTGATTTTAATTATTCCACATTAATCTCGATTGCGATGACGATCCCTAGCGAACGTGGTCGGCCACTGACGAACCACCACTACGACAGTAAAAGCATCGTGTTTTTACCACCAGATGTTCTCACCTTTCGAGATGTCAAAGTGCAAAGATACCGAACTTGTTTTAGTTTGCCATATTTCTTTGTCACCTCTTCCCTTTATTGTTCCACCCTCCACATACGCTGACGTATCAGTGAAATTGATTGTCCTCGTGCTAGACAGGTTGGAGCAGCAGCATTGCGAGAAGTGCGTTGGTAGACGAGAGTGCGGCCTACGTTTGTCGTTTTGAGTTAGGATTCTCAAAATAGGCACGCGCACTACCCTTCATACTATGGTAGATGTCGTAAAGGATACGACCCACACCGCGGGAAACGGACATAACATAGCGGGAGTCGACGACCAGCGAGTGAGGTGTGGTTGCGTTGTGTGTGTACGCTCGTCCAGTACGTTCTTGTGTTTCGGTGCCGGCTTGTACTGCGCATTCCATGCGCGCGCGTACACGCCTGCGTGGCTGTGGGCCAGGGTTTCTTAAAGACGATAGTGTTTTTGGAAATACTTGACAGAAGAAACTTTTGTCTGTCGGTCTGGCCATCTGGTCTTGTTTTGTCCGTCCAACCATCAGGCCTGGTCCGACTGACCACCTGGTCTTGTCCGTCCAACCATCAGGCCTGGTCCGACTGACCACCTGGTCTTGTCCGACTGACCGTCAGGTCTGGCCCGTCTGGCCTGTCTGTCTGGCCCGTCTGGCCCGTCTGGCCCGTCTGGCCTGTCTGTCTGGCCCGTCTGTCTGTCTGTCTGTCTGGCCCGTCTGGCCCGTCTGGCCCGTCTGGCCCGTCTGGCCCGTTTGGCCCGTCTGTCTGTCTGTCTGTCTGTCTGTCTGTCTGTCTGTCTGTCTGTCTGTCTGTCTGTCGCACGATTCAGCCCCCCGGCCAAAGTTTAAGCACTTGCGGAACGCCCGGTCATCCTGAACTGGGGGCTGCGTTTACACCTGGGAACATTGTCGATCAAGATGCAAACATTACGCATTTCTGAGGCGCAGAGCCAATACGTAAGTATTAGGTGTGGTAATTTACTAGAAAACACATATAGACACCTAATTCTAAAGACCTCGGTGTTTCTTTTTGTCTGTGTGTTTGAAATTTCACCATCATATTTTTTCACACATTCTCAAGCTTTTGAGCACTCGGCCTCGCTCTGTGAGTATTGCTAAAACGCATGTGGATTCCTGCGCTTGAGATAGCGCGCATATGCGTGATTGTGTGCATGGCTTGTTTATGTCTATAGTTTAAGAAAAAAATGTCCTTCGACTCATTTTTGTCACGTGTCTCAAGTTAACCCTGTTTTGTAGAGTCGCATAGACTATGAGTCTCCAAAGGGTGTTTAGGTGTTTTCTCAAAAGGAGTTATGGTAGAGTTGTATTCTTTGCTATGAAGAAATAAAATGACTTTTGTGTTTCTTACAGTGCATGTTTAGTGTTAATATGATCTCCCCTACTAGCAATGAAACGCTGGAAAGAGTTGAGGTTGCATGCAAATACATGGTTTTATTCTTCAATACGTGATAATCTAATTGCAAAACGTCTTTGTACCACCTTTGTGGTCATTCGTGCGTGTTGGTATGTAGGTTTGTAAAACTTCTACGCATACGCTTGTCTTTAACGCATTTTTGTCAGTCGTATAGTGTGTGGTATGGCGCGAGTGTTCACGAGTGTTGATTTTCCATGCACTAGTCAGCCGCCCGGCTTGTAAATGAAATTTCCCAACACGAAATTTTGCAATGTTTAAGGTGGAGATGGACTCCAGGAAAGGTGTATCACTGGGTGCTGGCGTTCGGTGCCATTGCGTACGCCTTGTGGCGGTTCGCCACCAACGAAGAAAGTAAGTGAAACACCAAAAAACTTATCATTTTAATTGTTTGCTTGTTGTTCAAAACTGAGTGGGCATCGTATTTTTACTGGCACGTGCAACGAGATATACTATTCCTTGTCTCCCTAGCGCTTCCAGTGACGCACTTGCTTCCAGTACTCCAAATATACTGTGGGTTTTACGTGCCAAAGCCACGATGTGGTTAGGAATGGCACTATAGTGGAGGGCTCCACAAATTTTGACCATCTGGGGTTCTTTTACGTGCGCTGACATCGAACAGTATGCGGATCGCCACCATTTTGCCCCCACCGAAACGCTATCACCGAGGCCGGCATAAATAAAAATGGCAGCATATTCACGGAGTGAATGATGGAGAGTGGGGCGAAGCATTCGTCCGTCCATGCGTCCGTCTGTGTGACCGTCCATGCGTCTGTTTGTGCGCCCGTCCCTGCGTTCTTTCATGCATCCGCCCCTGCGTCCGTTCATGCGTCCATCCATGCATCTGTTTGTGTGTCCGTTCGTTCATCTATTCAACACTCTAAGTCCCACCATCTCGCATCTTTTCATCATATATTCCCCATATAGAAGCACCGCCATCCAGCGGACATTCCAAGGACTAAACGAGAGGTGGCACACGCACACTTTCTTACGGCCTGCGCTTTAGGTCCACTTCCCACCTTTAACCACCTCGAGTTCATGGTATATTCTAGTTCACTGTATTCATGGCACTGCGACCAAACGCTCGCTAAACCTTTCGAAAACCAAGGAGGTTACGCCAGCGAGTATAACGTAGCAACCTTTCCCTGTCAGATAGGGCTCAATTTACATGCCATTGGCTGCTAATGAGAAATGAGAGACAGGAGAATTCGGCTTTTACTTTCTTACGGCTTGCGCTTCGTATCTACTTCTCATTTTTAACCACCTTGAGTTCATTCATAGTATATACAAGTTCATTGTATTCATGGCACTGCGGCTCAACGCTCGCTAAACCTTTCTAAAGCTAAGGAGGTTACACCCAGCGAGTATAATGTAGCATCCCTTTCTTGTCCGATAGTGCTCAATGTACATGCCATGGCTAATGGGGATCGCAGCGTGCGCGTTGACTAAAAGCCGAATGCTCATGTCTCTCATTCCCCATTAGCAGCCATTGGCATGTACATTGAGCACTATTTTTTATTGTTAAACAACGCACAGAAGAAATCTCTCACTGGCACCACCTTGGAGGTCTAGTGTTATACCTATTTCGGGTATGTGCCACTAGTGGTTACATACGAGGGACGCCCAAGCCACGCCATAAGGAGCTTCGCCCCTAGAACCACTTTCGGGGCAGCAGACGAGCGCCGTGACTACTAACAGATCATGGAGAAGGAGTATTCAAAGTTGTTTTCAAAATATGGTACGGAATGGATGGTTGAGGTTCAATTTATGGAGGTTTCTTTTCACATTGATATTCACAGGAGTGGACGCTTGGGCTAGTTGGTGCGTATTCGTATTTGCAAGATGTTTCAGCGCAGGGCAGGGTAGACAGAAAGAGCGCTGACTTCCAACTAACTTTATTTCACAGAGTGGCAAGAATATATACTGCTAAAAAAGATGATAACAGAGCATGAGGGTGAAATGCAAGCCTAATCTACACATCAGTAACAAGACACGTGTGACAAGTCCTCTATCGCCTCACAGCCCAGCCAGGTAATCACGTTCAGCCTGTGATAATGCAACCAATAATGTGCTTACGCATTTATCTCCTAGCACGTGTATTTTTTCGGCTTCGATAATTTCTCGGGTAAGCTGGTCCCTGTGCCTTGCCAATATAGAGCTCTAATCAAAGAGGGGGGTGCACACGAAATCCAATGAATGCCAAGATGCCCTTGTACAACATTGTGCACATTGTTCCGGTATTCTCGGAGGCGGTAATTTATGCACCTGCCGGTTTGGCCGACATAGATGCACCCACACGTCAGTGGAATCAAGTATACGACTCCCACTGCGCATGGAACGTAGCATGTCCTGTGCGTGACAGAGCACGCGGCAGAATTTGCGCGAGGTGTATTGACCCGTTTGCAAAGCTTCTGCAATTTTTCCGGTGCTGAAAAAACAACAAGAACGTTGGCGTCTCGAGCAATCTTTCTTAGCCTCTGTGAGACGTCGTGCAAGTATGGTAGTACGACAGGCCGGCTCTTTCTGACGCTGTTGCGCTTATCTGGTTTGTCGCGTCGCTTCACGACAGTGACCAGCTTTTCCACCACCGAAACGAGAACATGCGCGGGGTAACCAGCTTTGGTGAGACGCTCCACTTGTAGAGCAAAACTGCAGTGTACCATGTGGGGGCAGGACGGACTTCTTTAAGGTGTTGGCAAGGCAGAGGTCAGCAATGCCCCGCTTGACCAACTTAGAGTGAGCTGAGCTCAAAGGCAGAAGTGGCTTTCCGCTTCTTGGTTCATACATCCACCAAACATGTCGGGGTTCTAGCAAAAGCTTCAAATCTAGAAATTTCAGGTTATTATCAGTGGGTTATTCATACGTTAGAATTAATGGTTTCAGGCACTCTCGGAAAACAGTCAACACGTCAGAGGAAATGGTCTGAAAATTTTGACTGTCACATTTCAACAACACTAAATAATCATCAACAAAACGACAGACTTTAAAAACCACAGAGTCATCAAGTTTGTTTGACAAGACACGATCATTATGTGCTAGAAATATGTCACTGAGAACGGGTGCCAAGCATATTCCCAGCCCGAATTTATGTAGGATAACGGTCAATCAAATGTCTGAAACCTCCCGCATTCAGTAAGACTACCATCACGAGTCTGGTGTCTACACACACTCGAAGCTCATATAATCATTGCGTGGCATCTAGAAGAAAAAAAACAATAGTCGTCACACTTAGCTCTCGAACAGGCCACATCAGTGTAATTGCTTCAAAAGTATAGTGGTCACCTTCGCATATACGCCGGTAGTTCTGTCTCTTCCACAATACCAGGAGGGGGTAGGATTACTACCATGTTGTCTCTCACTCTAAAATTAAAGATATTGCTTTTGACATCACGCACTGACGGCTGCGCAACTCGTAACCATCTGTGCACCTCAAGAGTTTGGAGTTCATGAACCATCCACAAGCTTTGTCGGTCTTTTGTGATTCCCATGCAGATTTCTTGTTTCTTGTGTCACCATTATGTTATGGACCTAATGAGCAGTTCCTTGCTGACGTAAGGCTTTCACCGCCATGCATTATAGAATAGGGAAAACGATTCGACAGACTGCGCGTACCTTGGTAATCGATGTTATGCGAAGAATGTGGAAGGAGTGTGACTGTGTTGTACTTTTTATCGAGCGACACGTTACGAAATATGTACGTGTGTGCAACATTTGAACATATATCTTAAGATACGTGTTCAAATGTTGCAAATCCACATATGTTGAACAGTCGCATGTTTACTGTTCTGTAACGATGCCAACAGCAATATGGGCATAAGCCATAATCAGCTTATCACCGCCCACTGCGAGGGAAGGATTGGCCTACTTGGCACCGCCTTAACACCTGCGGCGCGTTGGCAAGGAGACATGGACGTGCAACGTTACACAGCCTAATCAAAGAGCTGCTTCGCATGTAAAAAATGACTGCGCGCGCTGCACAGCTGTTCATTGGCCACCCCGCATTAGTAGGCACTGGATCATGCGTTAGGAATTCAGTCAAGGGCAGGGCGTCAATACTTAGCTTTTGCTCTTTAGAAAGAGTTTATTTACATTATGTAAAAAACAAAATTTATAGCATTTCAGTAGAAGGGCACATACACTTTGCCAGATCTATGTACCAAGGCAAACATGACTACGTTACATTGAAGGAGGAGGAGGAGGAATAAATGAGGATGAACAGGGAGGTTAGCCAGTTCTCAGACCGGCTGGCTACCCTGTACTGGGGAACGGGGTAAGGGGGATAAAGGATGAGAGAAAAGAGACGTTGTAAAAAAAGAGAGAGAAGGTCATCAGACGATCCACGACGCTGTTTACAGTCTGTCTCTAAGACCACTTGCCCGCAGAAAGCGCAACAACGCTCTCAATGCCTTGCGTGCAGAGGATGGTCTCGGCCAGTGTCCTAATACCCCTTCTTCCAACAATTGGCGATTGTCTATTCTACCTAAAGCTTTTGACAGTTCTTTTCTTGGCACGCTGAAGCGGGGACACTCGCAGAGAAGATGGGAGAGAGTCTCTGCGCAGCCACAGTTGTCACATGTCGGGCTTCTGGCCATTCCGATTCGAAACAAATAAGCATTCGTAAAGGCCACCCCAATCCACAGACGGCACAAAAGTGTCTCCTCTGCTCTGGTTATTCCTGATGGAAGACGGAGCTGTAGGTGTGGGTCCAAATTATGAAGGCGGACGTTGGTGAATGTCGGTGAATTCCACTGATCGAGTGTCAGTTCTCGTGCAAGTGATCGAAGCCTTGCAGCGGCGTCCGTTCTTGATAATGGTATAGCTACACAAGGGGCATCATCATGAGCAGTTCGGGCTGCTTCATCTGCCACGGTCGTTTCCATCAATGCTGCAGTGGCCTGGTATCCATTGATACGCTATGTTGTTTCTCTATAGCCCGGTGATGAAGCAGTCGTATTTCAGCAATTAGCTGTTCGTTTGGTCCATGACGATATGGCGAGGCAATGCCCTGGTGAGCTGCTTTGGATTGATTGATTGATTTGTGGGGTTTAACGTCCCAAAACCACTATATGATTATGAGAGACGCCGTAGTGGAGGGCTCCAGAAATTTTGACCACCTGGGGTTCTTTAACGTGCACCCAAATCTAAGCACACGGGCCTACGACATTTCCGCCTCCATCGGAAATGCAGCCGCCGCAGCCGGGATTTGAACCCGCGACCTGCGGGTCAGCAGCCGAGTACCTTAGCCACTAGACCACCGCGGCGGGGCGAGCTGCTTTGGAGTCGGAGAATATTGACCATGTCTGTTGCGGTTCTTCAACTAGGAACTCCAGAGCGGCACGAATGGCGGCGAGTTC